AAAATGTATTATTAAGCTGAAGTACATCGTCAGAAAGGTCTTTCTTCTCATTTCCTTCAGGTTAAGTAGTCTGAGAAGGAGGAGGAAGAGGTGAGTTTGCCAACTAAGGAGTGGCAGAGGTGGAGGAGATGAGGAGGTGGAAGGGGAAGCTGGAGAGACAGGCACACTAAGTGTAAAATTTATTGAAAAAAATCCACACATAGATGGACGTGTGCATTCAAACCCATGTTCTTTAAGGATCAACTGGATACAAAAGCTATAGTAACTGCCGGGATATGGCCATTTCTTAAGGCAGGCAGTTGTGAGATTAATAAAGAGTGTATGCATGCCCTAAGCCCACACCTGAGAACATCGGCAGATAAAATCAGATTATGATCCCCATGAAAATAAGGGGAAAAAAACTAATAAATTATAAGCAAATCAGAAATAAGCAGTCAAAGTAACTCCCATTGCCTTCACCTTACTGATGCCAGTTGGATATAACTAGAATATGGGCATTTTAAAGAATCATGGTTTCTGGAAATCATTGGTTACTAACTGATGCCTTACATGAATAGGGGCCATAGGACACCGTCGACACAGCCTAGATGCAGCTTCTCTCCACAATGGGCTGCTCACTGTCATTGTCATCAGCACGCTGGTGTCTTTGACTAAGGCTGTGACAACTCTAGGGTCATGCAGGCGTATCTTTCAAATATTTCGTCTCAGTACCTATCAGAAAACTCTGAACATGGAAACTTAGTTGAAAAAAAAAAGATTTTGAGATTTTAGATTAAAGGGCATATACATTCATTAAAGAATAAACTCATCACCAAAAAAAGAGAGGAATAATAAAACCATTCAGGTAACAACACAAACATAACCACTAATAAAGTATGGTTATATCATCTTACAATCTATTTTCTCTGCATTGTACTGTTTGTTTATACAAAACAGTTGAATAACTTTGTCAGAAAGAGGGTAACTATAAATCTGATAAGCACACGCCTCTCAAATAATGTAGGAAGCCTATGACCAAGCAAACTTACAGAGTTTGACTTATATAATAAAATAATATAGCAAGAAACTTCCACCCAACCTTCTAGATAAAGAAGAGTCACAGGGCTACAGGCTGATGCTACCAATATATACAACATTGATTTGCAGGAGAAAGGGGATCTGTTGCTTCACTGACATTGATTCTAGTGATAGCTTCAAAGAAAAATGAAGAGAACACAGTGTCCTTGTAGTATAATCACTCATAGTCAGCCCTAATTCATATTGAATGGAATCACTGAAGCCATTTATTAGCTTTCTATACTCATTTTTGAAGAAAAGATTTAATAAAAGATCAGGTTTATTAAAACTCTGATAAATGGCAAAGATTTACATAAAGTTCTAAGAGATACAAATGTTAAGAAAACACACATTTGAAATTAATAATTAAGAATAAAAGAATTGGCCAGGCATGGTGGCTCATGCCTGTAATCCCAGCACTTTGGCAGGCCTAGGTGGGCAAATCACAAGGTCAGGAGATCGAGATCAGACTAGCTAACATGGTGAAATCGTGTCTCTACTAAAAATACAAAAAATTTAGCCAAGTACGGTGGCATGTGCCTCTAGACCCAGCTACTGGGCAGGCTGAGGCAGGAAAATTGCTTGAATCCAGGAGGTGGGAGTTGCAGTGAGCTATTGTGCCACTGCACTCCAGCCTGAGCTACAGAGCGAGACTCCATCTCAAAAGAAATAAAAAAAGAACCTAAGAATTAGTAACTGGTTGTAACTTTTACAATGTTTAACTTTAAAAAGAAGTGGAAAGAAAAGGCCACTTCACAGATAAAAAGGTTGCTAGCAAAATACTTATTCAGTCTTTATGCTGCCATCTCACTTGACCTCTTGTCAGAGAAGACTTGCTTAAGTTTAATCATTAATGGCTTAGCTTTGTTAGTAATACTAACATTCTAGATGAACAATGATAACTATAATTTATCATTTCTTCCTATGTTGTCTCCTTTGTGGCACTTCATTTTTCTACCAAACCATATGAATTAAATACTGTTACAACATCATTTGAAGGAAAAATTCTAGTGGTAATCACAGGCAACGTGTCCTCTTGAAGAACTGGTCATGCATGTGCCCAAATGGACAGAAGTAGTTTCTGGAAAGGGTAGCCAAGCACCCTGAAAGATTTTTCCATGATGTTCTCTCTTCTTTGAATCGGAAACCAAAGATAATTCAGAGATAAATTATTCAAACCACTTGCCTTTTCAAAACACTTTTGCAGTTAAATTGATGAGACATTTTATTATAGCTCTTTACATTTTCCAAGCTACTTTTGCTACATTTGCTACAACCCTTAAGGTAGATGAGTATTGTTATCATTACATCGATAAAAATGTACCTTGATGATGAAGAGTTATAGTGTCGGACTTCTGAGTTTGTTCCCTGACTTAATCACGTAATAGTTACGTATATTTAGACAAGTTGTGTACACCCCTCAGTATTCTCATTGTGAAGATACTGGAAGTAACTACATCATAGGCTTGGTATGAATACTGAATCGAGTAATACTAGCAAGGCATTTAGACATAGTAAGAGCTCCATGCATGTTAGCTCCCATTAAACCTATTTTATAGTTGAACAACCTGACACACAGAATCCAAAATCACAGACAGAGCGAGTGTCAGACTAAGAATTCATAGCTCTGACATTTCCTTAACAATGCTGTTCTTCCCCATTCTCATTCTAGCTGTCCCCAAACTTGACGTGTATATTTCAAGGCAGGCCAAGGAAGGCCAAAGAATTATTTCAAGCAATCCTTAAGTTCATATAAAATAATAACCATAACAGTACCTAACTTTTGTGTCACACTTACTATGCATTTATCACTGTGCTAAATCCCTTACACATATTCTCTTATTTAATCCTCAAAATCCTATTTCAATGGAGGTTATACTTCTTCCTTTTACAGAATCGGAAAGCAAGAACAAGAATAATTCAGTCAGTGGCGAAGTAACTTCCAAAGAACACACAGCTACTCAGTTTTTCAGCCAACAATCAAATTCAGGCAATATGGCTTCAAAGCTTAAGTCTTTACTACTCACCTTCATCTATTAACTAAGTAAGTAAACTGATATGATCCTACACTAGAGTTCATTATGCTTAAAAGCTGGACATACTACATTGCCCTCCACCATCTCATCATCAAAGAATCTTAAATGCAATATGTATTTGTAAGCAAACATTCCCACATGTTTACAACATTGGCTAAAGTAAGGAACCTACGTTCTCTATTTGCTTCTGGAGTGTGTAATATAAACTATCACCATAAACCTAAGAGTAGTCTCATTAAATGAAATTATTGTCTTTCATGCCTTAAATTTGAATGTGCCCCTCATCTAGGTTGTCAAAGTGCCATTTTTCTTTGATTTTGTGGTTTTTTGCCATGTACAGTTCTGAATTTTATTGAATCTGTATAATTTATGATTATTTTGCTTTTAGGTTATAATTTCAAGAAACAAAACAAATGTACACATATCAACTATATTGCAGAATATATTAAGCTAGATGATATCCAAGATCCCGATACTAAGATTGTATGCTTCATAGGTTAAATTCACATAATATATATAATGCGTAAATATACCTCTATGGCTTAGAAGTTTAAAAGTTTTATCGCTATCAAAGAATATTAATAAAGAATCTTCCGCTTCTTCCTTTCTTCTAACCACAAAATTCACCTTTTCTTCCCACAAGCAAATGTTAGGTTCTTGTTTATCTTCCTAGATATATTTACATAAATACAATAAAATACATTTATACATTTATATACCTATATCTCCCTCTCCCTGTTTTTATACTTATGTGCAGCATATGGCAGAATACTTCAGATGAAATCCTGTATCATGTTTTATGGTGAAGATTGTTCCTTACTGGTACTAAAGGGCTTCTTGTTTTATTATTATTGATGCATATTTTACTACTTTATTAATGAATAATAATTTTTAAATACACCTCTATTCATGTCATTAGATTGTTGCTAATATTATGTTGTAACAAGTGATGCTACAATGAATAATATCATGTATACACCAATTCACAGATGTGTGAGCATACCATTTCAGTAGAACAAATTCCTAAAAGTGAAATCCTGGGTTAATGGATATGTCTATTTGCAATTTTGATAGATATCATCAAATTTCTTCCAAAGGAATTGTTTGAATTTGTAATCAATACTAAATAATGAAGGCATATATATTAGGTTTTTCATTGATGCTAGAAATGGGCGATGTTCATATTTATGTTTCAAGCTTATATTTAAGCTTAAGTTACACGTTGCACATTCTGGTGGTGCTGGCAGGTGTCTTGGCACCAAAGTTAAGCAATATAACTCTCAATTAAAAACATAATACACTGTCTATTAATGCTTTAGTGATGAGAAAATAAACGTCTTTAACAGTTTTCTAGATTCTAAACAATAAATATATTCCCATAAGTTTAATATGGTTTTTGGAAGATAAGAATCATCACAGAAGATTGTATTTTTCAGTTGTTAAAAAATCTCATTGACTTCAGTGACTTTATTTCTGTAGAATGATTACTTTTTATAGGTAGCTGACAAGGAATCTTGATCACAATTTTTACTTCAAAAGCTTTAAAAAAAAAACTTAAATGGCAGCTCTGCCAAAAATTTTTTGTAAAATCACTTCTTCCACTTCTTTAGAACCTATTACATGGTCTGATTTCTTTATAAAGGTTGTGTAATGTATTGTAATATATCCAACAATTCTATGAGGTTAATGGTATCCAACTTTAGAAACCAAAAAACTGTGGCTCAGCAGTATTAACTAGCTCAGATGACACAACTAACAAGTACTGGTAAGAAAAAAAAAAAAAAAAAAGGTAAAAAATTTCCCACAAGTACTGGTCAGAAATGAAGCAGAGAAAACATTGTTGAATGAATAAATTAAATATGCAATACGTATACACTATCCAGTGGCTACCTAAGATGAATGTCCTACCTCAAAAGCAGATGATAAGGAAGGGACAAGAGGCTTCAGGTGACCAAATCTGTACAGCATTAGGAACATCAAGCAACGAAGAGTTTCCATAATAGCTGCCTGGGGTCTGAAATAAAATGCCATTAATATGCATAAGCGTTAAATATGCTCCTCATGTTTTTTACATGTTATAATTAAAATAGAGATGAACTTTTCATTCTCAAGAAATACCTAGTATTTTAATATATTTCAAAAGCATGTCCCCTGAAGCTATTTGAAAACAGGGATTAAACTAAGAAAGGACAATCATCTCATCTTTTTAGGGAAAATCTGTTCTTTAGCAACATACTGCTTAGTTTGATCATTGACGAGTTAGGGTAAAGTTTATTTTCAGCTAATAAATAAAATATTAGGCAACTAAATTTCTAGGATTTAAAGTAAGAGTGACTCCTTTCGCTGAGTTCATATCTTCATACTTCATTTAAAAAATGAGTGGTTAGGAGAACTGATACAGTAATGACTCTAAAAAAATGAGAAGTCAAATACCTAAGTTTTGTATTTATTTTTTAAACCACACTATAAAGTTATCTAATGTGCTGATAGTATACCACTCGGTGGAAAATTCTTGAATTGAGTAAATGTAAAAACAATGCAAGAACTTCACGTCTTGCCTTTGATCCAGAAGAAATCCCATGGAAGTCAAGGTCAGGATAATGAACCAAACCCTCAGAAGTAGAGTCACTGGTGACAGCACCTGTCAAACAAACACAGAGATCAATGGAGCCTTCAGGAGCGTTGTTAAAAGGTAGAAGAACAGTTAAAGCTGACAAAACAGCCCAAACGTAATTTTCTATTACACCACTTGGCAATTGACACTTTTCAGAAAGTTTGACTACACAGAGACCATTTTGGTTTTCTTAATGTTATTTGGTTTCTTTTCAGACATTTGGAGAAGTAATTGGACAATTCCATAATGATATTTTGCTTCAAGTGTTCATGCTAAAATTCTTCTTTAAAGTTTTGACTTTGGTAATTGTTTGAAGTATGTGAGTCTCCATATACAGATAAATTAGTCACATTGAAATGAGTCAACACTGTATTCTAATGGCCATTTTTAGTATCACAAAATCTTTGTGGTTTCAAATGAAAAGTGTTCTCTAATATAGAAAATATTTAAAGGAGAATGTGTTTATGAGTGAAAACACATATATAAAAGAGATTACATGCATCCACTCATATTTGATGAAATCTACATACTCATGTATACATGTCAAAAGTTATCTTTTTAATGCTTAAATGTTAAGCATTAGTGTGCTCTTTATGTTAATATGGAAGAGTTTTTTAAAGTAAATTAAAACTTACTAATATATTGGTCTTTAAGCCAAGGGAAAGAATGAGTATTATTTTTACAGGTACCTTAAGGGTAAATGCTTATTCTAAGACAGTCTGTCCATTGAGATTATCAGATTTCTGACTTGCAAATATGCTTTGTGCTCCAGAAAAATTAGAGGAAAAGCAGATACTAGAATTCTAATTTAAGTACATATACAGCAATCTTTGTTTATAGTGTAAAAGTATTTATATTATGTACAAAAACTAATTATTTTGGAAAAAATGAACCATTTACAGTTTGTTTTTGGACTCTGAGTCAAAAGATTTTCTTTTGAATGCTTGTCTCAATTTTAGTCTGGTCTTTTGTACTTTTCTGCAGAAGAAATGAATTAAAGAGTACAGTTGCATAAAGTCTGTTTTTAATCCTAATGTATTGGAAATAAATTATAAATTTTAAAAAAGTTATCTTTTGAATCATTATAACAGAAAACATTTTTCTGTGAGAATATAAATTAATGATGCATTTAATTTACATTTCTAAATTTAATAATGTTTATTGAACATCTACTATTTTACAGCTTCTATGGCATGTGTTTCTTGTACTTCAATTTTTTGCATTCCCAATAACTTTGCAGAGTAGTTGTCATTATATCCGCTTATTTTAAAAAAAAAATCTGGGAAACTAAGGATTATCTAACTTTTCCATCGTTACACAGAAAGTAAATAATGCCTCTGAAACTCAAAATAGGCCTGCCTGATCCCAAAGCGTGATGATAGTAGAATACATACGAGCAATAGATTTAAAGGAGCCAATAGCAGAAATTTAAACTGAGATTACATAGCCAAAGTTTAGAGCCAGGTGAACACAACTTCATATTAAAAGTGAATCAGTAAATTCAAAGGACTGGACACAGCTCATGGATGAGTTCCTTACTCAATAGTGGAGCTTAAATGTTCCAACTTCATGAAAACCCAGAGGTGTGACACAACAGACTGGCTAAAATAGTGCCCAAAACATTATGCAAGTACTCTTTCCTTTTTTCCGCCTTGAAATGAATACAAGGAATTTCACCTTATTATTAGCTAATACCCCTACTTGCAACTAAATTGCATCTGTCCAAAATTGTCAACAATAAACAAAAGCCACCAGTTCCAATTTTTGCTCACATGCAGTACCTTAGCTTCATACCCTCCTAAAAACCAGCCTCATCTCTTACGGCCAACTTCCTGGAATGGCAGCCAGAACTGTCAAGGGATTTTAAACGCTCTAGAGCAATACTTTAATAGAAGAATATTGGCGAGTGAATCTGAATACAAAGTATTAGAATGTTTAGGAATAGGGGCACGATGATAGGTATTATATACAGGATAGGGGAGTCAGTGGAAGCCAGAATGTCTTAGACCAGAGCAGGAGAGTACTATTAATATTTCAACATGTGGAGGTCAGCAATGTCTGCTTAGGAAGAGTGAGCACATAAATAACAGAAATATTTTCCTGGTGGTAGAAATAACTAGGGTTTGTTCAGTTACTTTGATTAAAATGGCTTCTCTCACTATATTGCTTCACTGTGGTTTTTGGCAGGGAAAAATTTACATAAATGGGAGAAATAATTTGTGTCAAAAACTATAGTATGATTGCAAATGCTCTTTAACAACATAGAATTTGGAATTATTCAAACCTACCATCCATGTAACTATGAACAAATTATTTGACATATTAAAGCCTCAGTTATATGTTTGGTACATTTGAAATAAAATATGCATTTGGCAAGGACTATAATCTTATAAAATACTTAGAAGAGTGTTTGGCACAGAGTAAAAAACTCAATTGATGGTCATGGTTAGTATTATTGTTACTATGTTCAGGAACTTAGGCTAATCTTAATTAATTACAATAAGATAAACAACTGAGAAGCATAAATAGAAGGTCTATTAGTTCTTCCAGATGTCATACGACAAACTCAGAGATGGAATAAGTATGTGTACTTATTTTGGTTGGGAAACATATGATCCCTGGACAATAGAAACAACTCTTTTTACCAAACTGCATCCTGACTACTGAAATCAGAGTGGAAACCAACTTAATGCAGGAATCCACCACCTAGTCCACATCTCTAGCTGGTTAACATGCAACTGAAACTTGGCATGACTAAAACACTGCCTTTGAGCTCCTCCTCACCATACATTCCCTAGTTCTTTTAATCTTAGAAAATCACACCTCCTAGCCTTCAACTGCTGAAGACAAAAACCTGTCCTTAACTTTTTCTGTCACTGTCTACTTCTAATACATCAGAGACATACTTAAAACATACCCAGAATGAAAGCATGTGTTATAAACAGCACAACTAATATCCTGTTCCACCCCAACATGATCTCCCCACTAACTGTTGAAATACTATTCTAACTGGTCTTCTTACTTCTAAAATTGCCCGTCCACCTTTCACAGCCCCCAACCTACAGTATACAGAGTGAGCCTTTTAAAGGTAAGTCAGATCATGTCACTCATGTTCTAAACCCTCCAGGGGCTCACTCAGAATAAAGCTCAAAGTCATCAGTCTAGCCCAAATACACCATACCCACTATAAATCCCTAGAGGTCTAGTGAGCTTTCTCTCTTTAACTCATAATAAACCATGTTAGAAATTTTCCTATTCCTGGACATGACAAACATTTTCCCCACTCAAGTCTGTTTCACGTACTATTCCTTCTGCTTGAAATGACTTCCCTCAGTGATCAGTAGGGTGCACTTCATTCAGGTCTCGATTCAAATATACATCTTTATCTCTCCAACACAAAATACTACTTCTCCATAACTCTTTATAACCATTTTATTTTATTGCTCTTCATATGATTTGTCACTTCTATACACTTACATGTTTGTTGATGCATTCTGTTTGTCGTCCATCTTTTATTAGTACATAAAATCAATGAAACTTTGTATCTCTTTGTTCACTGTGGTATCCCAAGTGCCTACAACATAGTACCCAATATATGTTTATTGAATGAGTGACAAAATAAAGGAATATTTTATATTTATATTTTAATATTAAAAGATTAAATGTTAATAATTCTTATTACATTGCTAATATGATATTTGAGAAAATGGAATCTTTAGTTTTTTATAAATTCAAATTTTATTTTAGCTTCAGGGGATACATTTCCAGGTTTGTTATATTAGTATATTGCCTGATGCTGAGGTTTGAGGTAGAAATGACCTCATCACCCAGAAAGTGAGCATAGTACCCAACAATTAGTTTTTCAACCCTTGCCCCCCTCCTTTCATCCTGGCTCTATTAGTCCCCAGTGTCTACTGTTGTCATCTTTATGTTCGGGGCACCCAGTGTTTAGCTTTCACTTATCAGTAAGAAATTGCAGTATTTGTTTTTCTGTTCCTCCACTAATTCACCTAGAGTTGTGGCTTCCAGCTACATTCATGTTGCTGCAAAGAACACGAATTGTTTTTTATGGCTGCATAGTATTCCAGGTATATACATAACATGTTTTCTTTATCCGTTCCACCATTGATGGGCACCTAGGTTGACTCCATATCTTTGTTATTGTGAATAATGCTGCGATGAACATATGAGTGTATGCGTCTTTTGATAGAGTGATTTATTTTCTTTTGGATGTATACCAAGTAATGGGATTGCTGTGTCTTAAGTTCTCTGATAAACCACCAAACTGCTTTCCACAGAGGCTGAAGTAATCTACTTTCTCACCAACAGTGTGTAAGTGTTCCCTTTTCTTTTTAGCCTCGCAAGTATCTGTTGTGTTTTGACGTTTTAAGAATAACCACTCTTACTGGCATGAGACAGTGTTCATTGTGGTTTTGATTTGCATTTCACTAATAATTAGTGATGCTGAGAATTTTTTCAGACGTTTGTTGGATCCTTGTATGTCTACTTTTGAGAGGTGCCTGTTTATGTTCTTTGCCCACTTTTTAATCTGGTTATTTGTTTTTTGCTTGTTGATTTACTTAAGTTTCTTAGAGATTTTGGATATAAGTCCTTTATCAGATGGATAGCTGGCAAATATTTTCTCCCATTCTGTAGACTGTTTAGTCTGTTGATAGTTTCTTTTGCTGTGCAGAAGCTCTTTATTGTAACTAGGTCCCATTTGTCAATTTTTGTTTCTGTTGAAATTGCTTTTGAGGACTTACTCAGAAATTATTTCCCTAGGCCGATGTCCTGAATGATCTTCGACAAAGTTGACGAAACCAATGGGTAAAGGACTCCTTATTCAAAAACTGTTACAGGGATAGCTGGCTAGCCACAAGCAGAAGACTGAAACTGGACCCCTACCTTTCACCATATATAAAAATTGACTCACGATTGATTAAAACTTTGAGTGTAAGACCTCAAACTATAAAAACCCTGGAAGAAAACATTATTAATATAATTAATCAATAATTTAATATTAAATA